GTACCAGTGACTCTGAAAGTGAAGACTGCTTTTGTAAAGAGCCAGAGTCTAATTTTGAGCCCTCCTTCATGAAATCAGAATCCTTGTTTTTCAACCCACCCTTACCATCTCTTTTCAGTTTCACATTTTTATTGTTCTTCTATTCCACATGAGAAGCAGAAAATTAAAAAGAAAGAAGGAAAGCGTTAAGGACAAATGACAGTAAAAGAAAAAGGTTACAAAAACATCTGAACAAGAAAAGAAACCATTTGTGTGAAAGGACTAAAAGACAACATAAGAGGTAGAGTACTTCACACAAAATGAATTTACAAGTGCACATATTAGAACAATGTCACATTCTGTTGATGGTAAATGTACTACTATGTCTTTTTCACTATCCAAGCACTCAAAGTGAATGCAGTAAGAACTGTGCCGCCAGTATCATGTCCCATAAGCCAGAGCACATGGAAAGTGTGAGGCTGTGTGAAGAGACGGAAAACAAAAAATAACAGTTCTCTTAAACTTTCATCCAGCTTTCCCCCTGGGAAATCTTCTGATGCACTCACTGTTAGGCTTTTTCTAATAAGTTTGAAAATCTGCTTTCTGATTTAAACTTTACACTTATTTAAAAAATTCTGCAGAATAATTTTTAAATATAAAATAAAATTATAATGATATATGCCAAAATGCTGGGATCACTTTAGGAGTGAAATAGAAAGATAATACAAAAGTATTTTAATTTCGTAATTAAAATCAGTATTATCATTCTTTTAAACATACTCCACGGTAAACAAAATCCTTACCTACATTGCGTCCCAAGAGTCAAATAAAATACTTTAATAGCAACAAACCAGCAGAAATTTTTGTTATCGTCTTAAGTGACAAAGTGTAGATGATAGTCTCTTGCTCCTTAAACTGGTGAAGTATTATACACTCTCATCTCAAACTATGCTTGATATGAGTTCTATGTGCCTGCACAAATTCTCTCTGACTTCAGTCAGCTTCTTAGAATTTTACCTTGTGAATATTTAGAAGATTAGCAAGAGGAGGTCTATAAAATTTGCCTAGCTTTTTTAAAAGTCAAAGCAAAACAATAAAGTACAAGGATAATACAAGAATTACAGATCTTTTAAACATCAGTAGAAGTATACATATAATTAGTTACAGTACCTTTTGCTTTTGGAGTGGTGATAATTTTAAGGACTGGTCACTGGGATTCAATTTCATTGCATGTGTCTGCGAAAAATAAGATCTCTATTAAAAAAATAAATATAACT